AAGCCTAGTGAGATAAGGACTTATAAATGACCATGGATTTAGTGACAAATGTTTTAAGGTGTGGTGGGGGCAGAACCAAGAATATTGCAGCAGAGTAAGTCAGGGAAGTGAAGAATAATAAAGCCAAGTGAGCCTCCTTTCAAATTCAGATATAAGAGGAGGAGAGGATAAAGCAATAATAAAGAAAGTCATGGAATCTATTAAAATAATGTATGTTTTTACATTTTCCAGCACTTCTCTGCCTACTGGTTGTGAAATAAGCTTGTATCCTTATCTATAAAATTAGTTTTTTAATAGTACCTACCTCATGGGTTTATGTTGAAGATCAAGTCTTCATATCTCCTAACAATTGTTTAGTCTGTCTCCCCCACTAAACTTTAAGTTCATTAGGAACATTGACAGCTCCTAGTGCAAGGCATGGTATATTGCTCATAAACTAATAAATATTTGTTAAATGAGTGTTAAGATTCTGAGCACAGTCCCACCTGCCCAAGATAAGCACTCAGGGCAGTTAGCCAGGGTGTGTGAGCCTGATGGGAGGAATGGGATGCAGGAGGAAACCTTATGCCCTCAGCTTGCTGTTTTCCAGAACCCGAGGAAATGTCCCCTGACTGCCAAGATGGGAATACAGGCAAGTTCGTGGAGATACCAGGAGTGAATTCTCTAAGGCAGAGTCACCCCTTCCTGAACTCACGGCTGGACTGCAATGAGGAGCAGGCGACGGACCCCAAACACCTCTTCCAGTACTGCTTCATGGCCACAGTGACTACCAGTGACATTCCAGGCAGCCCTGAGGAGGCCCTTGTCCCCAATCTAATCGCACATGGACCAGACCCATAGATATCCAATAAATTTCTCTACACCATCCTCTTCTGGAGTCTCTTTTCAGTGAAAGGTGGGGGTAGGGATGATCAAAGGGACTTGATAAAAATGGGACGAACGAGATAAATGAAGGCTTTTCCCAACCAATCTACCGAAGGCCTGCTGTGGACCCAGCTATTCTGCTCTGCCAGGCCCACTATGAGCCAAAGGGAGTTCAGTCATGGATCCCAAGTAAATGATCAGTAACAACGCCATGCAATAAAAGAGAAGCCTGGGGCCGGAGGAGGCTCAGATGAGCCCCTCACCTAACCTGAGGAGTCAGAACCCTGACTTGTTCTTCCTGCCACAGAGGCAAGTATACTAAGGGTACCATGGAAGATGACTGGTACCCGGAGGCAAGTGACTCCTGCCTCTCCAGCAGCTCTGCCCCACTCTTAGAGTGAGCCCCTTGCCAAGGAATAGAACAAGAGGGAATGTAGAGTACATAGGGCCCAACCATGTTTAGTATCATTCAACTAGTGACCCGGTGGACGGGTTCATGCACATTGAAAGGAAATTAATTAGAAGGTGGCCATTGGGGTGGGACTGGGCAAGACGGGCCAGACATGCCCTGGAGCCAACTTCCCTCGGTCCCTCCCTGTCTGGCCACGCCTCAGGTGGTGCCCTGGCTCAAAAGGCGTCTGTGGAGTGAATGGGGTCCCTCTGGCAGGTGAGGTCCCTCAACCTGGCCTGTGAGGATTGGGCTGAAACTGGCTCTCTGACATCCCCCAAGGGGTCCCAGAGTGTGAGAGGGCACTCTGCAAAGTTGCTGTTGTACAGGGTGTGGAACACAAACGCAAGCGTGCAGTAAACCAGATTTGGGGCTGACAATGCCCCAGTAACAACATAACTCACAGCCGAAGGTGGAATCTCACTGCTCCCGCCTCTCTGGTTTTGGGGTGTGTCACCCGAAAACCGCTGCTGCCAAGTCACTGCAGTTCAGCAGCTCCTGCGTTGAGCGTCTGCCCCCTGGTGGTCTGTGTGCATCATAGCAACCATTCGATAGGGCAGAGGAACACTTAGCATATTAGCCTTTTATATATATAGATACCTTAGGTGGATGAAAAGAGTGAATCGACAAGTGAGGGAATGAATGGTTAGCAGACCAAACACAGGCTCCACAAGGTGGGCTCGGCCACTTCCTGACCTGTGTGTTCTTGATGAAGTCCCTTAGTCTCCCTGAGCCTTGGTTCCTTTGCTGGGTTAGGGCAAGTGTTCAGAGATGATGGATATGAACCACCTTCATAAACATGAAAGTACTACAAATATTTTAAAATTAAAAGTGGATGTTTTTCAATATAACAGTAAGAGCAGGTACTCTGGAGCCAAATGCCTGGTTCCAATCTTGTCCCTGCTCATCCATCTAGGTAGGTATAATAGTAGTACCTACCTTATAGGATTTTGGAGGATTAAATTATTTTGTTTGTGCCAAGTACTTAGAACAGAGTTGGCACCATCCAGCTTTTTTTTTTCTTAAATTAAGCTGATAGCAAAGAAATCTTAGGGCAGGATGCTGACTGCCACCCCTATTTGTTCTCTTTTTTAATTTATTTTGAAAATCTAATTTGCTTAATTAAGTGATTCATGAAGAGAGCAGCATCCCATGTAGCAGATACAGAGGAGCACCCCCCTGTTTTCTTCATCTTAACTTTAGCAGTGGCTTTAGGCTTTGCCTTGAAGTGCAAGGCAAGTATTGGTGAGACTCAGTAGCCACTAAAAGCAGCTCTTGACATTTCTCACAGTGACCCAACCTGCTGCTGGATTTGACAACAGTGAATTGGTCACTCTTAGATAGCTGTACATGGAGCTCGAGCCAGCCAAGGGCACATGATGGGGTGGCAAGGCAGGGTGAGTCACCCACAGAAGTACCCTAGGCTGGAAGCCAAGAGGCCTCAGTTCTGGTCGTCTTCATTTGTTGTCTTCTGTGCATGTGTGTATCTTATTTTCAGCATTCTAAACCCAGCACTTCTGTCTACTTCTTGTATATTCAGTGGCATCTTCTGTGCCAGGACCTGTGCAGGTTACCAGAAACAAAAGGGAATCAGCCACAGAGCTGCCCTCAGGGGATCATCTGGAGGGCAAGGTAGGCACACAAAAGGGCAGTTGGCCCAATGGCAGCCCTTCATGCAGCTTGAGAAAGCAATGTGATGTCTGAGCTGAATCATCAAAGATGAGTCAGAGTTTCCAGGTAAGACAAGGTCAGAAGACATTATGGTCAGAGTACAACCTGTTCAAAAACAGTGAGAGAGCCTAGCATAGCCCAGGAACTGCACGTTGCAGGAAGTTTAGTCTCTGATGTTCTGTGTGATCTTTCACAGGACAGATCCCACCGCTCTCCTTAGCATCCCCATCAGTAAAATCCAATTTTTCTTGGAACACTTTTTATACTGGTCCATCTGGGGGGGGTGGAGGGGGGGTGCTAAGAAGAATCCAATGTTGCCCCTGCCTCTAGGTCTGATAGGGGAAGATAATCTGTAAAATCTAAAAACTTCAGTGGTTGTCAGTGGCCTAAAACAATGGCTCTCTTGAGCCTGCGTCAGAATCAGCTGGAGGGCTTGTGAAAACACAAATTGCTGGGTCCTCCTCTCTCCCCAGTCAGAGTGTGCAGTAGGTCTGGAGAAAGTCCCCAGAATTTGCATTTCTAAGTAGTTCCAGGTGATGTTGCTGCTGCTGGTCTTTGACCACCCTTTGACCAAGACTGGCCAAGAAGAACAAAAAGGACTCAGAGCTGGAGATTAGGAGGAGACCTCACTGAGCGGGGCCTTGAAGACTTGGTAGAATTTCCCCAGCAGGAGCCTGTGTGGATGGGGAGGGTATGGGGGGGAAATAGACTGCGTGTGCTGTCTTTGTGGACCTACACATCACAGGCCCATAAAGCTCCCCCCCATCCATTCCCCAGATTCAGCTTCTCTTGTTTGAATTCAATCAACCCTCAGAGCTGGCTCTCACTGGGGCTGGCTTTTCTGAATCTTGGGTGGGAAACAAACTGCCCACCCTGTGCAGCAGGAGTCCCCCCTCCCCCAGGGCAGCGAGGAGGAAGGAAGCGGGTAGGCTGACGCACAGACAGAAATAGTCTGAGCTCACTGCTGCTCCCAAGCACACATCGACCGGCAATTATTTCTTGTAAACTGCTTTCCCGGTTATGTTCAGAGCCTGTGTGTGTGTGTGTGTGTGTGTGCACGCGCCTGCCTGAGAACAAACACCCAGAGGGCCCTCAGCGGAGGTGGATAGCTGGGGAGTGGTATCCAGAGGGAGGGGAGCCTAAGTCTGAATCTTCACCAAGAACTAGGGAACTGTTGACTCTTAAAACTTGAAATATTAGAACCTTCCATCCACTTTTATAACACTCCTGTCAGGTGGTTTTCCGGCCTCTTCTCAAACATTCACATTTTTTTGTTCCTTCAATGTTGATTGACAATGATGCCCTGCCAGGATATGAGCTAAATGAAGTCCCAGTTCCTGACTTCAAGGAGCTCAGGCCTATGGTGTCTATAGGAGGTTCCCTAACCCTGCCAAGAGCTTTAGGGAAGGCTTCTTGGAGTAAGTGATGCCTGAATTAAGTCTTGAAATACCCACAGACAAGTGAAAAGAGGTTTGTCATACAAGATAGGGAATAGTATTCAAGGCAGAAGGAACAGCATAATAAGTAGCTCAGTTTGGTGGACACAATAGTCAAAATGGGGAAGAGTGAGAGATGAAGCTTCAGGGGAATAGAGGTCAAGTCCTGAAGCCTTTGCCATATTAAGGGGCTTTGGCTTTATCCTGCCAGGCAAGGGGAAGCCAGAGGAAAGGGTATTTTTTTTAATCCTCACCCAAGGATATGTTTTGTATTGATTTTAGAGAGAGAGAAAGGGAGAGGGAGAGAGAGTAACATCTATGGGAGAGAAAAACATCGATTGGTTGCCCACTGTGCACACTCAGACTGGGGATCAAACAGCAACCTGGCTATGTGCTCTGACTGGGAATGGAACCACAACCCTTTGGTGCACGGGATAATGCCCCAACCAACTGAGCCACATCAGCCAGGATGGGAAAGGGTTTTTTTAAGCAGAGAAAGGAACGCAGCACCTTATCTGATAGTTTGCTCTCATGTTCTTCATGACACTGAAGTGAAATTTGCCACCTAGGAGCTCTTGAATGCCTGCCCCTTTCTTTCCCCAAACCCTAGAAGTCTGAAGGCTTGTGTGCCCACAAGAAATGGCTCAAGCCCTGCACATATATCCTCTTGTTAGGAGGAGGCCATTCCACTGCCATCTGCAACGCTACTCTTCCTGGCCTACGCATAGTTAGCTCAGAGCCAGAGCATGAGGCAACTGAAGCCCAGGCCACAGGCCAGAGCCGAAGAGAGTGCTGTGCTTTGCTCTGTTCCAGAGACCTGGGGAACTCTCATGTATGAAGAGGATGTGAATGGCTCCTTTTCCATTCCTCACAGGATCAAGGCCACCAGAGTCAGTAGTGGGTAGTCCATTCAAGGAGTTTTGACTGAAAACATACTGTGGGCCCAGCACTCTGACAAGCACTTTAGGATAGAAGTTGCAGCCCTGCTCTCAGGGACTTACTCACTGGGTATGAAGAGTAGGTTTGACCCATGAAACTCCTAGAGCGCAGTTAGAAAAAGTTTGAAAGCAAATGCCAAGGAGTTAGGCAAAAGCCATTAGAGTCCCAGAAATTCTAAAACACGATAAAAGAAATAATCTGGAAATCTTTGAGGAGGAAGTGGTGGGTTGAATTTGAGCTTGATGGACCATGGCAATATTTTTTTAAAATATATTTTTAATGATTTCAGAGAGGAAGGGAGAGGGAGAGATAGAAACATCAATGATGAGAGAGAATCATTGATTGGCTGCCTCCTGCATGCCCCCTACTGGGGATTGAACCCACAACCCAGGCATGTGCCCTTGGCCGGAATCGAACCAAGAACCCTTCAGTTCGCAGGCTGATGCTCTATCCACTGAGCCAAATCAGCTAGGGCTGAAAGGTCTCAGTGAAGTAGAAATGTTCTATAA